ATAGTAAGGAAGCGTAGTACAAACACCACAGTAGCAAGTAACGAATCCCACGTGCTGAATTTTGACGAGTCTAGTAATGGGTGTTCCTGGAGAATATTTGGCGTTGCTGCTACTGATGAGATGAAAGTTTGTTTTTCGCTTTCTTGAAGCGATGGATTTTCAACTGGTTTCTTGATCTGAATTTTGAGGGCAAGTTGTTTCATCCTCTGTTAAAAATGTAGGTCCGTTCCACCAGTGAGCCAAGTTTTGTGGTTCTGAGACAGATGTACCGCGGCAGCCGATATCCGCTGGGTTTTCCGCTGATGGAACGTAGCGGATTGTGACGTCGGTCGTGAGTTCGCGAATTTTACGAACACGGTTGCGAACGAATACTGGTAGGGTTTTGTTAGACATAGTCCACGCTAGTGCAACGGCACTGTCAGACCAAAGATATTTTCGACGAAGCTGGATATCGAGTTGTTCTGTAAGGAACGAAAGTAGGTTGGCACCTGCGGCGATGGCTGATAACTCCAGACGTGGAATAGTGATCGATCGACGAAGCTGAAAATCATGGTTTTTTTTGGGGGACGGCTTTTTCACAAAATCGGTCATATCTCGGTTTCTAGGGAAGATAGAGACTTGTTCTTTTTTCCTTTCGATTACTCTACTCAAAATACATCTAGATCCATAACTCGCTTCCGAATTTGTGATCTGAAAATCATGGTTTTTTTTGGGGGACGGCTTTTTCACAAAATCGGTCATATCTCGGTTCCTAGGCAAGATAGAGACTTGTTTTTTTTCCATTCGATTCAGCTACTCAAAATACATCTAGATCCATAACTGTCTTCTAAATTTGTGATCTGGAAAGGAGTTAGAAATCCCAATGGATCATATATACTGGCTACTTCTTTTAAAATTTTCCTTTTCGTCCACATACCTTCTTTTGGTGGTTTCTGAGGCAGAGTTAGTGAAAGCTTGTCTTCGGAAGTGTTCCATTGGAGGCCAAGTAACTTTTGTATCTGTGGAACTTTCTCGTCTTCCTCTGCTTCGAAGAACTTGTTCAGGTCTGAAGAATTACTAGCGAATTTCCGTAAATTCATTCCTGCCTGTC